CTGCAGATTATAACTCTTCCAGAAAATATTCTATACTAATGGCTGTCAAAGCGGGTTGTTTGCTCAGCAGAGTCAATGGCCTGATTCCTAATCAAGCAGTGCTCAGGTTACTCTGCGGTAACCGCCACAGCCTAAGTGAAAACTCACACAGCCTTGAGCCGGGTCAAGAATATGCCCTCACATAAACACAGAGCAGTAACATAAGTATGACTTTCAAAAAGCAGTGACTATTTCTAATTTTCTTTAGAGCAGATGGCAACTGCAACATTACTTCATCTATTATAAAAAAAAAAACTGCTTCAAGCGATGCATGATTTTTAAGCACATTAATCCKACAAACTGCATCCTTAGCGAGTCTATGTTCTACAATGACAATCCCTTATTTCAMAAGCAAAAGCCCTGTTATTGGGGCTCCTGTATTTCAGTATGAAGGACGGAGAGAAAAAGGGCAGGGGATCTTATATTGAATTACTACTTAGTTTACATATTGGAAATAACCGCTGCATTTTTTCTATTTTCATTTGGGCCCTAACATGCTGTGATGCACCAGCAATCCCTCTCGGTGGCTCACTGCCAAAGCCAGGCAGGCAGAGCTCAATAACCTCTGTAAGGCTATTGAGAGGCACATGGGGACCTGAAAAAGTAGCCAGTTGTGTTGGTTTGCTCGGAACCCGCAAGGAGGCTCCCTAGGGGTGGTAAAGGTTTCACGGCTACCGTCCTACACCAGCTATGAGAACCCTCGACCCTTGGCGGGGAGCCCGATGGAGCTCCAGGGACGGTGCAGGAAGGGCCCCGCCCGCCCCGCCACGCTTCCGAGCGCCTCCACGGCGCCCCAGCCCCTGCACCGCCAGCACCTGCTCGTCCTCGTAGATGATGTTGGCGGGGATCTCCTTGCGGATGATCTTCCCGAAGATGGTGTCCCCGCCGGGACGCGCCGCCTGCGCCTTGCTGATCTCGTCAGCCATGGCGCCGGCTCCCGCKCGCCTCCCGCCGGCCCTCAGCCCCGCCTTTCCCCTTAGCCACGCCCCCACGGCGCTGATTGGGCCGCCGCCACACGCCGGCCGTRCCCGCCTGTCTGATTGGTGGATCCACCTGTCACTCTCCCGCTTGTCCCCGCCCCCCGCGCTGGCGCGCCCTCGCTGACCCGGGAGTCGCGGAGGGATCGGGGGYGGGAGGTGTTGGCGGCTCCGCTCAATGAAACACGACTCTGCAGAAATAGTGCGTGCCTCCCCGGACAGGCTGTTACAGACAGGAATACTGCTTATCAAATACAGCCCAAATATCTGACTGATTTCTTGGGACAACCCCTCTAGAATGCTCCGGGCTGGGCTGGCGTTAGCTTTTCCATACAMGTTTGCAGGTGTTCTCCTGGAATCGGGATGGATCCTGCAGAAGGGCAGTTTAATGTGCCAGCCTTTCTGCACATGAATAATTTCGCAACCGTGAAACACACTAATCAATATGGCCAAGCAATAATTCCCAGAGCTTCACAGAGGGTGACACAAAGTTACATAGCTATACACCTAGTTGTAAATGCTTCTTTTTACATGTATGACACCAGTTGTGAAATTCGAGAAATGAAAAAGTGGAGGAAAAACCCCAGAAACCGGAAAGAGTAACAATAAAGCTTCATTTCATGCGGTCTAACAAGACCAAGTACAAGGTCCTGCACCTGGGTCAGAGCAACCCCCGGTTCCAGCACAGGCTGGGGATGGACAGATCAGAGCAGCCCTGGGGAGAAGGACTTGGGGGTGCTGTGGGTGAGAGGCTGGACATGACCCGGCCATGGCACTGCCAGCCCAGAGAGCCAAACGTGTCCTGGGCTGCATCCAAAGCAGCGTGGGCAGCAGGGGAGGGAGGGGATTGTGCCCCTCTGCTCTGCTCTGCTCTGCTCTGCTCTGCTCTGCTGAGACCCCACCTGGAACACTGCACCCAGCTCGGGGGGCACAGAACAGGAGGGACAGGGACCTGCTGGAGTGAGTCCAGAGTCAAGATGATCAGACTGACTGAGCACCTCTCTATGATGACAGGCTCAGGGAATTGGGACTGTTTAGCCCGGAAAAGAGATGGCCTAATTTTAGCCTTGCAGTACCTCAGGGAGCTTCGCAAGAAAGATRGTGAGAGACTTTTTACAAGGGCATATCAAATCCATAGGGCATATAGTGTCAGGACAAGGGGGAATGTCTTCAAAATGCAAGATTGGAAGTCTAAATTGGATGTGAGGAAGAAATTCTTYGAGGGTAGTGAGGCATTGGGACAGGCAGCCCAGAGAAGCTGTGGATGTCCCATGCCTGGAAGTGTTCAAGGCCAGGCTGGATGGAGCCCTCAGCAACCTGGTCTAGTGAAAGGTGTCCCTGGCCATCATAGGGGCATTGAAACTAGATAATCTTTAATGTCTTTTCCAACCCAGGCCATACTGATTCTGCAATTTTCTAAACTTCACAGATAAAATAGATTGATTTCCCTGAAGATTTATCTAGGAAGATATTAATACAGAGATTTATATATATTTGCCTCTATACAGAAATCTCACAGGAAAGCATTCTGGAGAGAAGCAGGGAAGAAACACTGCTGAGTGTCTTGAACCTGATATGGTTCTACAGCTGATTATCTAAACTTGTTATAAAAAGAGCAGAATTTGTCATATRTTTCTGGTAATAATTCTGAAATAGTTTATCTTGAGATACCCTGAACAAAGCTCTGATAAAGCATATTAAACACTGGAATTATATTCTCTTTCTCATCTGATTGTCCTGGATTAAGACATTTTGACAAATTTTTGTGTATGTCCTGCAGATGGTATTGGAGCTTTGTGACAACTGAAACAAGTGTTTCAAGGACAACTTTCTTTGAATTATATTGTTGTCTAACCATAGCTATTCAGCAAATATATGATTAATTTTATTCTCCCATTTTCTCAGGAGTTAAATGAATTTCATAAAAGAAGATCTGATATTAGTAGCTAGACAGACTCGGGAGTTTAACATACAAATAATTATTTAGGATCCATTTGCACATGGTAGTATATTTCAAGTAGTTCTATGGACTGCCGTGGAGTCAGTCTAGAAAGCATATTTGCATATTAAGAGGATACATAAAGAGACAAGTTTGGAAGATTCTCTGAAAAAGCAAAAAAAAAAGCATGTAAACAGCACATTTTATATTAYTTTGAATAAAACAAGGTCTTTTCAAAGGGTCTAATTCATTCACACCTGCAACAAKTATTCTTGGAAATAAATCTAAAAATAAGCACCACTTCTGCTAACAGGTCAAGTTTCTTTATGAGTTACATAGTTTAAAAAAGTATTTAATAAATGCTATGGTTAAGTATCAATAATTAATGAAAATATTAACATTATTGAGTAATAGTTTAGTGTTCCCATATTTCGATTAGCTCACAATGAAACTGCAATTGGTTCAATAGACTGTATTGAAGCTAGAGGTCTAGTGAGCAGTAAAGCTGATGACACAGAAAATCCTTATGCTGCCTGTAGCTAGTGCTGAATGATGTGTTACTGAACTGTAAGCTTGTTTGTATTTTTTAGAGAATGGCAATTGAGTTTTATAGAAGTAGAAGACATGGCCAGGCCAAGGCTGGGCTGTTCAGTCAGGGTGTGGGTAGGGCAAGGTAGTGCTGTTGAGAACTGGGTGTGAGCAGCCAAGACAGTGACCTGGCTAGAGAGGGGAAATGACAGAAATGACAGAAGAAAATGCCTGTCAAAAAATACCAACAAAGGAAAAGCCTGCCAAGGACACCAGCAGTGTCCTCGAAAAGGGCAGCTGGCCTCTTCCAAGTACCTAGAAACTGGAGAGGTCCTGAGATACTTCTGATAGGTGCAGAAACAGGGAAATATAGTCACACCTGAAGCAGTGAAAAAATAGACCGGGAAAGCAGAAGGAMCCCCAGAAAAGGAAGGATTCTGAACTGCCTTTGACTGTTGTAACTGCAAGAGCAAAGAAACAGTCTGGGAAAATAAAAGCTGATTTGAAGCAGCAGCAAACATCATCATTTATTGGCYATTGTAGGCTCACAAAAACTGATGGCTGTCCAGTTAGCCATCTGAAGCAATTAGATTTTTGCTGAGAACAATGGGTAGAACACACTGGTSTTTGTGCTACCCTGGGCAGTGCTCTGTGGACCCTAGACAGGGAGCAGCCCCTTGTCCCCACTACAGCTCCCCTTGGAGGGCAGGAGTCCCCACTGCCAGCTCCAGTAGGCAGCACTGCCTTCCTCCCACAGACCCCCTTTCAGCTCCTTTTACAGACAGTGGCTCCCAACACACCTTGGCATACCGAGGAGTGGCACTGTTTGCGCGGCCAAGAAGACCAATGGGATTCTGGGGTGCATTATGAAGAGCATTGCCAGCAGGTCAAGAGAGATGATCCTGTCCCTCTACTGTGTCCTGGTGAGGCACATCTGAGTGCTGTGCCCAGTTCTGGGCTGCTCAGGATGAGGCACGTGGAGCCTGGAGTGGATCTAACAAGGGCCATGAAGATGGGACTGCAGCATCTGTGTTATGAGGAGAGGCTGAAGGAGCTGGGCCTGATCAGCCTTGAGAAAACTGAGAGAGGACCTCATTAAYATCTGTCGGTATCTGAAAGGCAGGTGTCAGAGGATGGAGCCAGGCGCTGCTCAGTGGTGCTGAGCAGTRGGACGAAGAGGCGACAGGCAGAACCGATGCACAGAAGTTCCACTGAACATGAGGAACAACTTTACTGTGCGGGTGGGCGAGCACTGGTAGCAGATTGCCCAGAGAGGTTGTGGAGTCTCCCCTACCGGAGATAGAACCGTCTGGACACAATCCTGTGCCACCTTCTCTGGGATCTCTGTCCGAGCAGCCCAGCCGCTGCTGTCCCTTCCAGCCTGAGCTGTGTGTCGGTGAAGGCGGAGGCAGCGGGGRTGGGGCACAAAGGCTGCTCGGAACGGCGGCGGCGGCGAGAGGCACCCGGCGGGGCAGCATTAGCGGCAGCACCGGCAGCAGCGCGGCGCGGCGGGGCCCGTGCGGTTCGTCACTTCCGGCGGCGGGTCGGTGCGGGCGGCGGGCGCCATGGGGAGCCGCGGGCAGGCGAGTGACACACAAACACATTTATCCTTGCGTGCTGGGAGGTCGCAGCTTTGTAGCGGCCATACAGCCAAAAGAGATAGACTTGCAGGACAAGAAAGACGCAGAACTAGGTAAAAGAAAGTAGGGGTTTGCACGCAAAGGCCGTTGCGGGAAAAGGAAGGGAGAAGTGATAAGCAGAGGTTAAAATACATTGAAAGCACGTCTCGTGAGAGTAAGGGRAAAACAAAGACTTAGTTACTAAACTTTTATTACCGTGTAATGTCTTACCGGTACCTCTTTCGGAAGTGTTTTGAAGTCTAGTTTTGGGAGTGCAAYAGACTGAGGTATTCCTGGAGTTCTCTTAAAGCACCTGACTGTAGAGGTCAGMCGAGTTTGCATTAATTCATTTTGATCAAGGCCATCTAATACAGCARCTGTTGGTAGGTGTGGGGAAAGCTTTCCAGGAGGAGTTTGCAGAAATAGAACCAGGTAATATYCTGGGTTGGAAGGGAGCCACACGAATGATCGACTCTAGCTCTTGGTCTTGCACGGSACCATCCCCAAGASTCACACCGTGTGCCTGAGACAGATGTGCAGAAGCTCCTGAGCTCTGTCAGGCTGTGCTGTGACTGCTTCCCTGGGTAGCCTGTTCCTGTGCCCAACCATCCTCTGGGTCAAGAACCTTTTCCTGAGATCCAGTCTAAATGTCCTCTGAAACAGCTTCAGGCCATTCCCTTGGGTCCTGTCACWGATCACCACAGAGAAGAGATCAGTGCTTGCSTCTCCTCTTCACCATGTGAGGAAGCTGTAGACTGCTGTAAGGGTAGGAGGATGCCTGAAAATGCCTCGTCGAGTTGTTCAAAGTAGCCAAAAAAAAAAACTTCAAGTTTTACCACACATGAGTTCAACATAAAACCACTTGTAAGATTAACTTGCTGTTTGCGGGGATGGCAGAAGTATTATGGAGTAAAAAAAATTTAGGATGTTAAAATCTGTTAAAATACATCTGCAAAGCAAGGAGTTTATTTGCTGTGTTTTAATTCTGTGAGTGTGCTTTCCATAGATTCATCCATCTTGGGAATGGTGCAGTTAAAGGCACCATGGTTCTGTTAGTTTGCTGATTATTTSTGAGTTACAGCCCTCTGTTTCCTCTGTGTCCTTCTAAAAAATATTTGGAATACTACTCATGAGAAAACAATCTAGGCTTATTATGAAGTGCTTGGAATTGTGCCGGCTAGAAATGCCAAAGCATGAGAGGTGGTACTAGAAGGAGCTTCAAAAGGCATRGTGCTATCAAGATTATGTTCTTCTTGTGCTTGTCAGAGATTGTTTTCAGTCTCTAGCAAACACCAAGAAAGTCTCACGAGGACTTGAGGATTTCTGTAATTCATTACAGTCTGTGTGAATGATCAGCCAAAACCTCACGACTGCGACCTGTGGTTCTCAGGGGTTTTGCTTTGCATACATATTCAGGTGTGTCTTCTCTACATTACAAGTYCTAGATTTTTGAGTGTTTGCATTTATGGAAGTTTTTATTTGCTAACCTGGCAGTTATATTTAAGGACTTTGCATTGGTTTTGCCACACCACCTGCAGAAGATTATTATGTGAGAGTACTTAAGCCATTTCTGTTTCTGTCTTTTTCAATAGCTGTAGAATATCCACTGATGTACCCTTGATRGGGCCTTCAAGGAACTTGACTTTTAGAGTTATTCCAGTTCTTTTTTGGTTTATTTGATGTTGCCATAATAAATATTGCTTATGTTCATGTATTTTCAGGATTATATTCCTATAATGCCAAATAATTATTTAAGATTGTGGTGCCAGCATGTTAGGGTAATTTGAAATACCTGTCTAAGGTTTTAATGACAGCACATCTGCTTTTGTCTGCAGAKTTTTTATCAGGAATTGAAGTAAAGCATGAGATACTAATGCTATATCAAATTCCGTACTAAACAGAAAGACATGAAATTCCAACATTTTCAGTATTAATATGTCAATTTTAACTAATAGTCCTGCTAGCAAATAAGGTAATTCTATTGATGTTGTTTTGGCAGGTTTTGAAGCTTTTTAAGTTGTTACACCGAACACGGCAAGAAGTTTTTAAAAATGATACCAGAGCACTTGAAGGTGAGATACTTGCTTTGTGTGGTGTGTGCTTACCATATTCCATATTTCTGTGGAACTCTCTTCTTGGAATACAGAGAAAGAGAATTCTTAACATAATTTTTCTTTAAATTACTCCCTGCATATTTTTTAATTAATCATTGGTGAAACTTTTGTGTCTATAACCAGACATCCTTTTATTTGAAACCAAAATATGGTCATTAGACTCAAGCAYGCATATTTTGGAAGGGAAACATCTCTTTTTTGAATATTCCTGATCTTCCTGGGAGATTTTTTTCTTTTATTTTTTAAGTTCCTCTCTTCAGTCCAAAGCATGTTTAACTGTCGTAAGTATTAGAATTAATTCACTGTGTGTGGTTTTTCTTCAAGGGATTAATGCTGCTTTTAAATAAAGCATCTTCTGTATGCTAAATAGGGAATCTTATTTTATTTGTATACCAGTCAACTTAAAATGTGACATCACATGAATTTTATGGAAATTTTACATTGAAATACTTAAAGCATAGTGCCCCAGGAAGGTGCCATAAAGAACTAAGATTCTTAACTTTGGGGAAATGACAAATTCGGAATACATTTTTTGTTCATGCTTCAGTTTTTTACTTTTTTTTTTAACTTTGTTTAGCTGCAAGACAAAAGATAAATGAAGAATTCAGAAATAATCGAGACGAGACATCTAAAGAGAAGATAAATGAGGTATATTCTTGTTTTCTGTTGGTTTTTTTTCCCACTTTGCATAAGAATATTTAGACGTGAGCTTTTTATCTAAAGGATCTCTAAACCAATGTAAACACATTGAGACATTATGAAAGTCACATTGGTTTAGAAAGGCTTCTACATGGATCTTTGTTCATAAATATATAGTGGTATTAATGCTGTGGTATAGAATTTTGTACGTACAAAAACACGCAGGTAAAATTGTATTCTGGTAGTTCAATGTGATTATTTTGAAGTTTATAATAAAATTATAGGAGAAAATATTTAAAGTTGCTATTTTCATGTAAGTATTTTATGCTTTGTTCATGATGTCTGTCTGCACTGTGGTCACATAAATTTGCCAAATAATTATTGATAACCACAGAAACATATAGAGAAATTAAACAATCTACTCAGTTGCTGACAGATCACAAATGAGTCACCATCTTTGTCRAAGGCAAAAACCAGCAAAAATTATGATTGTAGTATAGTATAGCAGTAGTAGTATATATTATACTGCAGGAATTTTCTTTCTTCTTCTTTCCTCGCAATGTATTAAAAATAGGGCATTCTGTTAACTCACCAAGTTCATTATCTTTGCTCAGTTGTCACCATAGTACTTTTTGCTGAGTCATTTTCTAAAACTTACTGAGTTCTGGAATGGAATTTCTGTATTTTAGATCATTTTAGTTACTGACATCCATACAGAGCGAATAACTTAGTCTTTGTCATTCAGCCTTTTATTAGACTGTATTTATGTTGTCACTGGGCATTGGTTGGCATCCATCCCTTGCAGATATAAATGTAAACCTTTTCCTCGTACCAGCCACTGAACAGTAGCACAAATAGTTCTGACTGTTTAGTTAGGACTTCTGAATTTMATCTTGTTATCAGCCTCCTGTGATAGTACTCAGTGTTTGTGTTACTACTGTCTGGTCAGCTAACTTATGTGGTTCAGGGTTAGTTTTTTTAATCAATGTACAGGAAAAATACTTGAGGTAATTTTGAAATCCATATTTGTTGAGACTGGCAACCTACAAAATACACATATATAACTTTTTTACATGCGTTAGTTAATACTTGATTAACTGTGTCAGTGAAAGAAATGCTAGACTTCCACCCCACGTACACTCCTGGAACATCACAGAATTTGATATATGAATTACATATGCACATTGAATAGATTTGGTTGCAGAGGAACTGAATAAAATGATACACAGGACTTGAAAAAGTCTGGGCACTTGCTTGCATGAACAAGGTGCTGTTTGTGCTGCTTTGGACAGCAGCTGAAAAATGGACCAGCCAAAATAGAAAGTTCCAGTGTTTTCTAATAGGACAGCAGGTGCTTGAATCTGTACATGCTTGTACATATCAAGTATGTCCTGACATAAGGAGATTAGGGCAACTGCCTACAGTATGAAAATGAGAAATGTGGCAGGTGAATGTAATGCACTGGTTTTAGTTCAGATCAGGAGTGCACTTATGACGTTACCTTGGTTATTTCCACTTCTGTGGTTAGTCTTGTTTTGTAAAGCAGTATCAGAGCAAATAGCAGAATTCCCTTAAGGTCAATTTGAAGAGGAAGATTCAGGAGCGTGCAGACTGGCTGCTAATGGGCTTTCAGCAGGGGGAACTGGAGGGTACCTACTCCAAGCCTTTGAAAGGGAAAAGCATGAGAAGAAATGCAGTGTAGATATCAAGTATTGAGTGCTAGCCTTTGCAGAGATCCACTTCAGTTGGTACACACCACTTCCTATTGTAAGCATGTCTCCTGAAGTGTCTCACTTGCACAATTTCGTTTATTTCTGACACAGGTATCATGCAAACAAGAATTAAACTTCTCTTAATGGTTCAGCAAAGCYAGCAAGGGTGCTTCAGCTTATCCTCTTTGTGAGAAAAGGAATTCTAGGCATTTTGCCAAATGCTAATACCCCTGCTAATCTTTAGGTAGTGCCTTGTTTCTGCACAGCTTTTCTGTGAAACCTCAGTATTCTTAATTCTTGTCATTTTTTACCCTTCTCTTTGTTTCCTTGTTTCATGAGCAGTAGTGTTAAAAGAGYGAGACTGCCGTTTCACTAAGGGAAGTCAAATGTTACTGAGGCTTTCGCAAATGTCTTTGATCATTGGAAGCTAGTTGATTAGTTTTGTAGTTGCATTTCACCTTATWAATTTGCAGTTTTAATTGGAGCCTAGATGTATGTACTGCTGTGTTACTGAGCCAGAGTTTCCCTCTCCATGTGCTTTATGTCAGGGCCATGTACCTATCAACCTGTAAGTTATTCCAGCATCCCCAAGGCAAMAGCTATATTTACTGAGTACATAAATAAGAGAATAGTAGGACTGAATGGCTTTAATATTTGAATAGTTGTCTAGTGTGGGAAATATCTTCAGGAATAGTCATGTATAATTTAAATTACTCTGTTGATCCTCTCTTTTTGTTCYTTTTACTAGCTTCTGAAAATAGGTTCAGATGTCGAATTGATTCTCAGAACTTCTGTTATTCAGGCAGTTCACACAGATTCTGACAAAATAGGTGAGTAAGCATGCTAAAAAGGTGTTTAAATATGTTATAGTCCAGTAAATAAATAGTGATGCAAATAGCCTTTCTTTTATTCGCTGTTGAAACCCTTAATCTAGACTTAATTAATGTCACTACTTAGGGCAGGTGGAGATTTCAAAGGTACAAAGTTTCTACACAAATATGGAGGTTGATAGAAAAGAGCCCTAAACTAGCTACAGCTACTGTCAGCAATTAGATAGCRCGTCAGCATGCATGTACAGGTTAGTCAGTCAGTGTATGTCCAAAGGCAGTAGCCACAGTATCTCCCTGTAGATGCTTACTCTGCCAAATAGGGAGAAGCTTCCTGAGGAGAATTAGCAAATGCAGTATGTACACAGGCTGTAGAAGCGCTTTTTCATTGAGGATTGAGTGTTTTTTCCAAAACTTCTTTCCAACAATTTCCATTTGAGGTTATGCTTTGTAAGATTTGTGMCACAGTGATGGCCTTGATACAAACTCTGTCAAATTATGAAATTTTGATTCCTGGTTTAGAAGTTCTTTTATTTTACAATCCAAAAGAGAAGTGGTGGGTAGATTCAGTATACAACTATGTGGCAGAGAATAGGGGAAATCTTCGGCTGTGTATATTGTTTCTTTATACTTCTGTTCAGTGTTGTCTGTAAAGTTTTGTAACAATTTTCAGTTTTAGGTTTGGTAAAACATATAACTTCAAAAGGGCATTTATGATCACGGCCAAAGATACGTGTCAAGTCTTCCACAGTGATTCCAGGCAGATGATAGCAGATGAAGAATAGGAACATCTTTCAGCTCTTCACACCTGGCAGCACTTCTTGGGCCAGGGATGTTTTCTGGCTCAGTTATCTCCAATGGGCTTGTCTTTAATTACTATTCATTTTTACCAAACTCATTGTTCATGAGTTTTTAAGTTCTTTATTGCTTTCTTTTTGTTCACTTCCATGAAACAACTTCTCTTGGAAGCARCAGGTGAATGCCTGTGATTATTCTATTGCTATTTGCTGCACCCTCTTCAGTTCTCTGTCTCAAGATGGTTAAGGCCTTGCTATCTTAGTCAGAGCTGAGCGCATTTGTAAAGCTATGGGCAAGGAGGCATTTATACATACAATGATAGCACAATGATGTTTTCTCTTTCATTTTCAACGGAATTTCTGGTCACTGCTAATTCTAAATTTTTGACTCTGAAGCATATATATTATTTGTTTTTACAAAATTGTACTGATTTAATTCATCAGAGTGGTTATAAACAGTTTCGAACTTACCACTTACTTTGTGAAGTTAATATTTTTCTTGACCTGTGTGCATTTTATGCCTCTTGGTGTAATTTTGTGTCAATTTTCTAGTTACTCAGTCATCTTTCCATTTTTCACAGTAAGCCATTTTCTTAATGAAATATTTCAGCATGATAAAAACCATTTTTTCCCAGGTTACTTAAAAATACGTTGAACAGTGAATGTGCCTACAAAAATAACTGTAGAACTCTGCATTTGACATGCACTCCAATGGATGACCTGATCATTTATTGTTTGCTTCTTACAGTTTAACCAGTGACTTATCTGTGCAAGACTTCTGTCATTATAAAGCTGTTGTTTCATAAAAGCATTGACCAAGGGACGTTTGGGAATCCAAATATGCTGTGGCAACCTCCAAAGAGCCATGCAGAGAACTCCAGCAGGGACTGTGGAGTAAGGGGAACTTCTCTTGCAAAAGCCACATGGATTCAATTTCAAATTCTAGGTTATAATCTAATCCTGTGTGAGTGTATCAGAATGGGGTTAGGACATCCAGGTGGATCAGGAACGGAAGGAAGAGGAGAGAACATGTGGACCTGCAGCAGAGTAGGAATAGGGACCTGGAAAGAAGGGACACAGAATAGTCAATTCTGTGACAATATAATGGCAGTAACTTACGTTATATGCTTTCTTTTCCTGTTGGCCTTTTAACACATGAGGTAAGATGAATATTACAGATCAGATTCCAAGACTTGGGAGAGAAAGCTGAGCCAAATTCAGTATTAATTTTTGAAACTGTTGAATTAAGCATAGTACAACTCAAGCTTGAAAAAATTGCCATTCAGTCTCCTGCTAAAAGTTATGGCAAGACTATAATTTTCTRTGGCGTCTTAATGATATCAAAATTTTCAATGCTTATAAAAGGAGAAAGAGAAAACATCATTGTGACCAGCTAAAAGTAAAATCTTAGTATGATTTTGTGTTAGATATGATGCTGCTTGTACACTTCCCAGCAGTTCAGATCCTCATTTTAGTAACCTGATTTTTTGTTTGTAAACGTAAAAACAACTTCAGAAYTTGAAATAGTATTTGCCATAAGATTGTGGTCTTACTGGGTATTTTTTTTCTATTTCAGTACTCATCCCCAGGAAAGATCTGCTACAAGATAACACTCCTTACATGGATAAACCAACAAAAAAGCAAGAATCCTGAGTATTGTTACTCGGAAAAAGAGACTAAAATAAACTCACTGATTTTGTTGAGTGCTGTGGTATCATCATGCACTTCTTCAGTGAAAGATACTTTCACAGAACTTAAAAGTACACTGCTGAGATGTTACCTCAGCCAGGAATGTTCCTGATTATGACAGCTATCAGACAGAGATTGTTTCCCAGCCGTCCAGTGTTTTTCAAAGCTGCATGAAAAATAAATGGGGTTCTTAATACTGATAATGTTTATTTATAAGTTTTTTGTTAATCATAAGCTGCTTTGAAGTAATGAAAAAACATCTTGTGGCGTTCAACGTTAAATTTATGCTCTTCACCAASTGCGTGATTTCTGAAGTTGTCATTAATTGTACACTAGTATAATGTGATGCTTGAGAGAGTTCTTAAGGTTTATCTGAATAAATTATTTGTGTTTTACAGATGGAAGAGTGTGTCTAGTGTTTTTCTTCCCCTACACGCTTTGGAATGAGCAGGAATGTTAGGGTTTGAGTTCTCAGATGACAGCACAAAAGAACCCAACCATAACCAGAGGATATTGATTTAGATCATCGTATGCTTCATGAATTTAGGGATTATGAATTTACGTTTTGTGTCTTAACTTGTAATCATTGAGTAACTGAGGCATTTTCCAAAGAAAAGGGCTTTGCTATTCAGTTTCAATTGAACTTGGTAGAGTGAATATATGAAAAATTAGTAAGACAAATCATTTGCATTTTTCTTAGAGGAGACTTACTTGCTCTTTGTGGAATTCACCACAATGTTCTATTCCCTTGCATTTTAATTGGAATGAGGTACTACTGGAGTGATACATAGAATCTTAGTGAAATTGGTAACAGGCATCATCCTAGAATCTTAGTACCTCACRCAGGAGTGAGGTAGTCCAGTAATACTTCTCACCTCCCGGGGCTCCTTTCATCTTTAGTAAGCCTCCAAGATGTTAGAATTGCATATCCCTGTGTGAGCTCATACGGCTTCATTGGCTGAGTAAACTAGAAAGCTAGTACCTTCATCCAGTCTCTTTTTCTCACARAGCATGTCAGTGTTACAAGTACTCCTTTCTTCAAAATAATTGCCTCTGGCTGCTATGGGCAGGGCAGCCAGCAGCAAATACAGCTGTCAGTGACCCTCTTTGAATTGCACTGCTACTCCCTGCACTGTAGCTAAAAGGCAGCAGGCACATGATGGGAGATAGAATTAAATGACTGCAGTTCTTGCCATTAAGTAGTGGCTCCACTACAAAACAAATGTCTCAGTCACGTAGGGGTTGTCCTGTTCTAGGCTGCTCRTATTGTTTACTTTCATAAGGACAAGCTATATTCTCTGGTTTCCCATCCTTCTSCAGCCTGCCTACACTGACTTTTTTCCCCATAAGGGGCATAAGAGAGGCATATGCCAGGAAGAGAAAATACAGCACAGTTGCAGCTGTGAAGAGAAGGTAGATAATTGCTTCAAGTGAAGTGACTACCTTTTGTGCAGAAGTAATTAAACAGGGCTCTGGCAAGACTGGCATATTATATAACCATTAACCTATGACAGGTTGTTTTTGGGGGGAATTCACCTTTCATAGCCACTGCTTTAGGCTGTGGGTGTTGTCTTAGAGATTTTGTCCTTCAGATTGACCTTACAGAACTGAGGCCTGCTAAGTTTTCACTTTCACTACTGATGTAAAATTTTGCAAGCCCCTTACCATGCAAAATATCTAGTAAAAGACTGGTGATGTCAGTGGTAGAGGGTAGTCTTCTGTACACTGTTTGAGGAAGCCTCAAGTGGAGAAATTTCTCATGTGACTTGCTTTGGTATTGTTCTGCTATCATGTGTTTCGGGGTTTTATTTTTAGTAAGAACACGTAAGTAGAAATACTGTATGGAAGTGTCAACTTACAGGATCAGGCTTGTGATTCAGCAGGCATTTGTGTGCTTCATCTTACCCACATCTTGAATACACAAAACAAAAATACAGAATAAGTGACTCGAATAACATAGTCAACTGTTGAAAATAAAGTACATGGTAAAAAAACAAAAAACAGTAGGTACAATTTGTTGTCCTTCAGAATGATTCTTCTTACACTCCAGTGCAGTATTTTATGGTCTGTGTGTTAACCTTCCATGTTCCTGCTGTCTTTGGCATTCCTGGACAGCAAAGACAAACAAAATTTTGTGGTGYTGAGATGAAGAAAATCAAGGTACAAAAAAGGCTGCTGACGTAAGAGGCTGGCAGGCCTATGCGTTGCTCTCATTCAATGTGATCTTAAATAGGAGCCAGAGGGTATCTAGACCAGGATAAAKGGGAATCCAAATATATTACTGAGCCTAAAAGCATCTCAGTTTTTGCTTTCTGGGCGCAGCAGGTGTTTGCTTTCTTCAAATTTAATTTTTCAGTCTTGGAAGACTCACAGACTTGCTTAATGAGCAGCTTGTAAAGCCTTCTTTGTACTAGTTGGTCATAGTGGCTATTCTTCWACCCCTTATTTCATGCTTACCTATTCGGTCACATTCCAGAATCCAGCCATCTCTCCCAGTTTCCATTTCCTTTTTTAATTTCATTCTGCGTGTGAATCTGTCCTTGATACTGCTGGCTTTGTGCTCATATATATATATTTTAAAAATTAATACCAATAATAATAGATAAGAAGACAGAAACTATTATTGCAATCCCTCTGCAAGTTTGACGTGTTAGCTGAAACTGCTCATTACACATGTTTTCACTTAATGGCTTGGGAGAGGAAACATTTGATTCTATACAACAGAAACTCTAGCTGAATAGATTCCCAATAACACAATTCAATCACATTAAAGTTTTCAGGTTTACTGGGGTAGCAGCATTTTGAAAACGATGTGTGTGCCTTTCCTTCCAGAATACGTATCATCCATCATCAAAGATAGGCCTTAAAGGTAATAGTTCATTAAACTGAAATTTCATCATGTCTGTGTCAAAAAATTTCAGAGAGGCCTTCTGCAGGCAGACAGGATGTGCTCTTGGAGAAGGCTTGGTGCTTGTTCAGCTCTGCTGCAGTTCAGCTGCCACAGCCAAGTGGCCAGCACGTGTTGCTGTCCAGAGGTGTGACCTGTACAGACACCAGCAGTGCTTTACAGGAGGGTTTCAGGTCTGCTCAAGGTAGCCACGCATATACAGAGTTTGGCAGAACAGATGTCACCTCAGTAGTTCCATGTAGCTAAATTTTAAGCACTTCAGCTTTTCGCAGCATTGATTGGAGATGCCTCTGTTAGAACTTTCTGCCTTGGTATTCTCTTTCKTGAAGAGTTGCCTTCATATACACTGTAGCTTTATGGAAAGCATTACATACATCCAAAGAGTACTTCCTGTTTAAATTTCGAGTTTTGGTCTTGTGCTAACCACCTTTCCCTCTCCTTTAACAGTTTCAAAATTAAAGGTTTGTTCTGCAAGCTTGTTCTGATCAGGGTAAGGATCAAGCATGGTATGTCTGCCATAGTCTGATGTTTACAAAAYACAGGTGATAGATTTAATGTATTAATTGATTTTGTTTGTGTGGGTGGGATTTGTGTTGAACTCCTAATGGTTTCAGGTGAAACATGGTGTTTTTTCTAATTTAGCAAGTTTTCTAGTTGCACATTAATCCCCTTCTCTGTTCCTGTACACTTTGATAAAGAAAGCATTTAGTTGCTAATTTTAAAAGGMGTGCTTTTAAATGACAAAGTGATTTTACAAAAAGTTGACATGGAAGTGGCATTAAAAGTTTAGTATGGAAAAGTGGCTTGTATGTTCCCTGAGGAACTGAGTTCGCAGGTGGTTTTCCAGGTAATGTGACATTAGCAAACCTGTGGCAACTGCAGTGACACTAACATTTATTCTAAGTCCTGTCAGCTGAGGGAGCTGAAGTAGCCTGAATGCTGGATAGAATTATCAGTCCTGTTTGTATCACACTGGACTTGTAAATACAGCTTCAAGTACTGGCAGTTCTTTAAACTTCCTCTAAAAAAGGAAAAAAAATATTGACAAATTAAAACTAAAAATAAAGACTGACCAGCTTACAGGAAGAGCTGAGTCCTAATGCTTCCCAGCCGCAGATAACACTTTCCAAACTACGTGAAAATTTCATCCTAATCTCTGAAGTTTGGTAGATTGTCTGATCTTTGATCTTTAGTTTTATGGAAAATAATTACTTAATATGAAGCACAAACAGGAACATGAATTTTATTCATGTATTAAGGTTGGTATTCTTGTTAAGGATACTGAGGTGCTGGAATGTGTCCAGTGAAARGCAACAAGGCCCATAAAGGATTTGATAAACATCCCTTATGAGGAGTTGCTGAAGTAGCTGTGTTTGTTTAGTCTTGCCAAGAGGGGGCTCRGGGTGGACCTGATTGCTCTCTACAGCCTCCCTGAAAGGAGGCTGTAGAGATGTGAGGATCAGTCTCTTCTACTGTGCCTGCAGTGAGAGGATCAGAGGAAATGGTCTTCAGCTGAGACAGGGGAGATTCAGAATAGATATTAGAATATTTTTTTCACTTTTAGGGGTGGTCAGGCATTGGAATACATTGTGAGGTGAAGGTGGTGGAGTCACCATTACTGGAGATGTTTAAGAGGCACCTGGATTTAGTGCTGGGTGATGCRTTAGTGGTTTAAGGGTTACAGTGCTAGTGCTGGGCTTGTGGTTGCACTTGACCATCTTAGAAGTCTCTTCCAACGTTGATGATTTTGTGATTTTACAGTTGTAAAGTTTTGATGTTTTGATAGTAGAAATCCAGCCATCCTTGAGGGTAAAGTATATGTAGCTTCCACGGAGTACATCTGCGATGCAGATACCCAATCTGGTTGAAAGATTTTAGTAGTGAAGCTTGTATGATAGATTTATTCAGTTTTTAGAATTCTAGTTTGCCATGACATTTTTTTCTGCCAGCAAGAATAAGTCTGAGGAGAGGAAAAGAGAGGAAGACCATGTCTTTACRCTCTGAAAAATAGCAGTAAGTTTAAATAATTTACTTCTTTATAACCAAGTATTTCCATTTAGTTAAATAATCTGATTTGCCTCAGATGGTGGAGCAAAAGCAGCTCCTTTCCAAATCATGCTTTC